CGACTCTGTTCTAAATAATTTTATTATTTTTACACTTCTGTACTCAGAATATACAACATTTTGTTGTGGATAGGTCACAGAGCTTTCCATTGGTTAAAATAAAGACAATCAAGTGACCACATTTGCGTGATATACAATTCGTTTTTCAATTTATACAATGTTTCCGATAATAAGGTGTGTTTGAAATAGTCCTCTGTTCTAGACAGTTATCGATGTATGCGAGTTGTGAATGATTCAGTCAAAAGGACACCAAACTTGACACTTTGAACCGTTGTTATCGCAAGTGTGGCACAGAATTAAATTTAAATCTTAAATGTCAACTATTGGCGAGCTCCGGTCCTGTACATTGATATGAGTAAGTATTGTAGAACAACGATGAAGATACGATGAAGGTAATAAAGATTAAATTCTATTGCACTGATTCGCATTTGAAACAAACACAATGAAACAAAACACAAATCAAAAACAATTTGAAACAAGCATTTGAAAGTACTCTATTGTTTTTCTGAAATCTACTTAACGTTCAGTGCCGGCTTTACCCATGGTGCACAGCATATGGCTCACACGGGCGCTGAACCGCCACTGGCGACACCTCCAAAGAGCCACGAACGAGCTACTGCTTCCCAACATTGTTTATAATTAATTGAGACTATCTGCGCTAAAGTGGTGTAACCCCCATTAATAATTTTTTTTTTGTTTACTTATAATGTTACTTTAAATGTACATATTTAATTTATATTTGGATGCTATTTTCATGTATAAAAATAGCTAATTTTCTTTAGTAGTCATGAGAATAGCCTCCAAATTTAAACTAATCATGTACTTTAGTATCACTTGGATGCTGATAAGTAATAATGTGTTAACCAACATGAGCATAATTTTGAGAAAATGGCACCTAAAGATTTCGTGGTTATGGCTAATGGATTTATGTCAACTGTGTTTACCATTTTCTCTTATTTAGAGGTTTCAAATCACTTACTTTATGTTTGTAAAATGTAGACGAGACGACAAGCTACAATTTGCCATTAATATTTCCATTTTCGAGTTTTAGCGGGTTAACACGTTATTGCTTATCAGCATCCACTTAAAGTAATATCGTAGAAAAAAAATTGATACGGATTACACCTTTTTTGGGCTGATAGCCTCAATTGCACCATTTGCACCCGAATTTCCGATCACTGGGAAAAATCTCCCTAAGTACCTATTAATATTTTGGTCACGTGCCACATGGCCTAGTGCCGACACTGGTAAATACAGTTTAATTGTACGCAATGTTCACTGCCTCTTATAATAATACATAAAAGTAACAAGGGCAAGTAATTGACAGCGTTACTGTGTAAAAATTATCAATCGCAACTTGCCTATTATAATTATTAACTGTCAGCGAATGAGTAAACAAGAATTTTAAATTTATATGACACTAATTATCATTGTTGGTTTTATCAAAGTTAAACCAGAGACAGTATGTTATTTAATGGAACATTAGACATAATGGTCGTTTGTGCAATTCGGCATATATTTAACATGTTTTGTAAGTTATTCTATTATAACTGTTTGTGTCCCTTATAAATAAAAAAGGGAAAGAATAAAGAAGAAATCACAGATGTGTATTGATAAGGCGAAATATGTATATCAGGATCGTAGCAAGTGGCAATCACACGTCAAACTGCAATGTGAAGGAAAGAGATAGTTGTCTTTCTCCGTCGGTCGCATTGCTTGCAATATTTAATCTATAACTTCATTGATTACATTAAAGTTGAATGTATTGTAATATAAATGAAAAGAATTATTAATTATAGGAAAGGTGAGCATAAGGTGACTTATCTCTAGTATATCTTTTCCGTCCAACCCAAGGCAGTGAGAGCGAAAGTAATAAGCGGGCAGCTGCGTGCAAGAGAGAAACATTAAATTTGACATATTCAACATGTAATATTTAGTTGAATATCATGATGTTGTTAGTACCATAATATTCACATATTTTTTTGTGAAAAATCCCTTTATAGTCATAATAGTTAAATTGTATTAAGTAGCCAAACTGAGGTCAGTGATTAGTCTATGTCCATAGGCTGATTTTTAAATGTTTGTGAGTTAGTGTTCGCCCGGCTCTCTCAGCTAGAAAACGCTAATCTTGTTCAAATAGAATGTTACAGTGCTGCAGTTATAAATACATTCAGAAACTTAGTGTCGTTTCCGGTGTCAAGTTGTGAAAATTAAAAAAAAGGATTTTATTGCGGCTACAGCACTACAGTGTTCGATTATAGCCAAAAAATATACACTATCTAAAAAGTAAGGTAGTTGAAATAATAATTTTTGTATGAATACATATTGACCCTTTGGTAGATTCTAAACACTGCTTCAAAACAAACGTTAAATTAAAACTGTGAAACGATTAGCTGTACTCCGATATCATTTGGTCATTTGCACAATATATTCAAGGTTCGCAATCTTATAAAGTGGTAGTATGACGTTATAATATAACGTATATTATATTTATATATTAAATACGTAATAGTGTTGTGTATATAACGTTTAATGTATTATATGTATGTATTATTATGTTTTTTTTATAATATCAAGTGACGGGACGAACAAGTCGTGCGCCTGATGGCAAGCTACACGCCAGTCCATAACAGTTGCAGTGCCACTCAGAGCTTAAAATCACAAAGATTTGAGGGGCACAGCCACTGCGCCCGTCACCCTGAGACATAAGTTGACAAGTCCCATGTGCCTGTAATTTCACGAGTACCCTTGCCCTTCTAAACCGGAGCGCAGTAATGCTAACACTACCACTTTCTCGTATTGTTTGTCGTTTATCAGAGACAGAGTTATTTAATTTAAATTTATTCATTCCTACTTTTGTTTTTATTCTTAATATTATACGTCCATTATCAGTTATTATTTTCGTTGATAACTGCAATTGGCCCATCCAAAAAGTTTTAAACTTATGTTAAGGTTAGAATTGTATTAAATATGGCTGTTTCTATCCTAAATAAAAAAATAATAAAAATTGTGGAGTCAGCCGTGACCATTAGAGCCTTAAAGAACCCAAAATGTAATTTTGTGTAAAAAAACAAATATACGCAGTATAGATAAAAAAAAACAGTTTCGTTTCCAATATATAGCAATCGCAAAATACAGAACTCGAGTAAAATTACACCATACTTTTTTTTATAATAAATATAATAACGCATACACTCAACATAGCCCCGCACTAGGAAAACCCTGTGCCGCGGGTGCCATGGACACACATAGACAACCACTAATTACACCCAAACTCACGAGAGAAATAAATATAGGCTATATAAATATTTCTCCCGGCCCGGGAATCAGTTTATTTACTAGCGTTTAAATTTGCAACCAAGAAGTGGTTATTTTTGTAAGAGTCTAACCGGTACATAAAATTACTTAACATTTTCTGAAACAAATGGTGACAAATTTTATATACAATAAATTTCAAGTATTTTGGAACTTGGATTTTTAAGACTACATTTAGGATATAAGGTTAGTACTTCAAGTGACGTAATAATAAAATTCTATTGTTGCCGTAAAGCACATATAAGTACGTATATGTATGTACAAATATAGTGGTACATTATATTCAATGTCAAGCCTTTGTTTCATAACTTCATATAGTCAAGCCAAATTATTCTTTAAATTGCCTCGTTTAACCATTTTTGGACGTTTGTCGTGTGCCCATTTACTAAAAGGAGATTTTCAAGAATTTACCGGTCTCGCGGTCTGACATGGATATATTTCCTTCTGTTCACGTGTTGAAGTGTAATAAGGGTACTGGAATAAGACTTAATAATATATAATATATTATACAGGTATAAATTATAGTCTTTTAGTTAAATAATTTTTTTTTGACATGACATTTAATGACAACCTTTGACTACATAGTTCATTATAAAGCCAATAGATGCTGCTTCAAAATAATTAATGCGTTTAAGTCTTTTATAAAATAGTTAAATGTGGCGATATATTATATACTCCCGGACACACATTGCATTTTCAATATTAAATGCCCTGGCTTAAACAATGCTTGATTGATCAAGAACTATTTGCAAACTATAAGC